AGTTGAAATACCCTTTTCACCTACTCTAAGGGTTCTCCGTGTGATTTCAGCACCAAGTCTGAGGATGGGTTCACAGTCACTGTCACGAACACACACCACCATGTCAAATACTCCTGGACGCTTGGGCTGGCAGGGCACACAGTGGCTCTGCCTGGTCCTGAGACACCTGTCCAAAGAATGGGATTTTATTTAATAAGAGGGAGAAAAAGAAATTAAAATTATTTGGTCACGTGCAGGTTCTGAAGCCTGTTCATGTCCTAGAGGCGTTTTTCCCTTCATAGTCAGAGGAATTGGCCCTGGGAGATGGGCAGTTGACCTAGCCCCGATTACTTTGAGCTGAAATGTAAGTGTCCTGTTGCTTGGCAGTGTGTAGTGGAGGCATATATGTGTTCCCTCAGTACTTGGGAGGCGGAGGCAGGAGGATCGCAAATCCATGATTGGCTTGAGCTGCATTGTAAGACCCTGTCTCAAAAAACCAAGAACTAAGGCCAGCTGTGGTGGTACACTCATTTAATCCCAGCACTCAGGAGGTTGAGACAGACAGATTTCTCTGAGATGGAGGTCAGCCTGGTCTATATACATCAAGATCCAGGCCAGTCAAGGCTACATAGTGAGACCCTGTTTCATGCTCGTGTATTCACACACACACACACACACACACACACACACACACACACACACACACACACCCCTCTGTGGTTAGGATTGTAATTCCATGGTAGAACGCTTGCCTGGCATGTTCAAGGCCCCAAGTTTGAACCCCAGTACCACAAGACAAAATCCCCAAACTAAACTTACTGCTGCTCCTTGCTCCATGCAGCTAGTGTGTTAACACACGTGTATGTGCACACACTCATAAACACAGACTGGTCTGGAGCTCAAAGAATAATCCAGGGGGTGGGTGTCAGACCAGGGTTGTTTATGGGGTACAGCTGGGTGTCAGGCAGAGAGGTGCGAAAGCTGGCCCTGTCCTGAGAAGTTGGGGCTACAATGCAGTCATGTCTGTACAGTGCCTGTTAGACACCCAAAGATAGGGCTTGGAAATGTTCCGTGAGGTAGTCACAGCTCGGCTCTGCTGGGGTTTCTGCCTGGTGGAGGGAGATGGCTCTGCCTGCATGTTGTTGCCGAGCTGCTTCTTGGGCCGCTTATGCCCATGGGTAAAGTCCTGCCTGGCCAGTGTTCCCATTTGGATGCTCTGTGTCTGTGGACTTAGCATATATAAATTCACGTACGGCCTTGTGTCTTTATTGTTAGTAGGGAAAAGGTCCCGGGGGTACAGCGAGGCCGCACCCCCAGATTGTAACAGGATAGGGCCACTTTGTGTCAAGAAGGCTGCCTGCTGTCATGCAGCTTCACCACAAGGCCCAATGATAGTGCAGCTTTAGGAGACTTATGGCCATTGAGTCACCAGAGGCGGCTTTTCCCAGAACGCAGAACTGAGGGCATCCTCAAGTCAGAGGTAAGGGACAAAATGCACATCTTGAGATAGGTCTTAAGTCTCTGAAAGTCCGCTCTGCCATTGTTATATCACTTGGGTTTTGAGACAGGGTTTCTCTGTAGCCTGGAGCCTGTCCTGGAACTCACTCTGTAGACCGGACTGGTCTTAAACTCACAGAGATCCTTCTGCCTCTGCCTCCTGAGTGCTGGAATTAAAGGCATACGCCACCACTGCCTGGCTGTATCCCATTTCCTACCATCTGCACAAACACCTTCTAAGAGCCCCTGGGGCCTGACATTGCTGCCAGGGATGCTCTGGTTCCCAGAAACATCAGTGGAGCAACATCTATCACAAGCCACGCAGGGTGGCAGTCTGGGCACATTCCCATTGCTGTCTGAGTCAATGTGGGGCCACTGACCTGGGGCTCAGATAAGCCTGGAGGCTCCTTTCTGCTGGTTTTTGAAACATTAAGTCTATTCCAGCCAAGCACTAACCAGGCCCTGCTGTGGGCTGACGTCAGGACAGAGGCCCCTGGGGGGCCTAGCTTTGATGTTTCCCAGGCCATGTCATAGGGTGCGGGATGGGGCGCTCTTAGTGGCAGTCTGGGAATGCAGCATCTCTGGTCACAGCTCTAGAGCAGCTTAGGCCCCAGGAGAGGATGTGGGGAGTGAGGTCGGGGTGACTGGGCTGCTGTCCTCTCAGATTTTGCGGCAGGTGGTCTGTGGTCCCTCGTCCTAGCCACCATCTGGTTGTCTTCTGCTCTCCGGTGGTGGTCCGTCTGCTGCCCCTGCTTTGGGCATATCCCTGGGCCGTGGCATGAGGAGAGTTTTCTAATGTTCTGAGAATTTGGGTCCTTGAGCAGGAAAAGAGTTCATGGGATTAACAATAGCTGCCTTTTATGAAAGGCAAACCCTGGCCAAGGCACGTCACATACATAGCTGCATCATGGCTCATGAGCACATGGAGGACGACAGATCTGAGTCTGATCTGTCTGAATCTGGACACACACACGTTTGAAAAGGAAATAAACCTTTAAGAAAAAAAAATCTCACACAATTAGACTGCTCCCACCTCCCGCATAAGAAAAAAAATCTCATGGGTTTAAACAGTGAGATGGTTAAATGGATAAAGGCACTTGTCATCGTGCCTGATAAATGACCTGAGTCCAATTCCTGGAACCCATATGGTGGAAGGAGAGAACCAGTTCTAAGGGATTGTCCTCAGATCTCCGCCCACACAAACAAATCAATAAAACCACCGAGGAGACAGCTCAGTACAGTGCTTGGCACCCAGGCGTGAAGGCCTGAGTTCAGTCCCTAGGCCACATAAGAATCCAGGTATGGTGCCATTTGCCAGGAATCCTAGGACCCGAGAGGCACAAGACAGGCTCCCTGGGGATCCCTTGGCCAGACAGCCTGATCTACTTGATGAGTTCCAGATCAGTGAGACCCTGTGCCAGAGAGCAAAGATGGGGTGCTCCTGGGGGGTGATACCTGAGGTTGACCTCTGGCCTCTTCATGCGTGTGCACATTGTACACACACAAGCACATGCATTTGGGTTTTTTTAGACTCACGGTGTTTTAAGCACGTTTACAGTCTCGTGTTGCCCTGTATTCATGCTGTTCTGAGGAGCAGGTTGGATACCCTGGCTGCCACAAAGATCTCTCTGCTCTTTGGGGAGCACCCTGGTGTTGCAGGTTGAAGGTCCCAAGATGTTGGTGGATTGTACTTGGAGTAGAGCTGAATCTACCTGTCTCAGGAGGTGGGTGGCAAGTGTTCCTGATGTCAAGCCTGTCCCAGAACCGCATTTTCTTCAGGTCAACCAGTATTCTTTGAGTGTCTTTGTGAGCCTGGTGTTGTCTGTGGGAGGTATGTGTGCCACACTACCTCACTCTGGAAACTGACTCCCCTTTATAGGGTCAGGTATTTCCAGGGCAGGCTGGGAAGAGCATGGGTGAGGAGCTGGCTTCCTTGAGTTACTGGCCTGGCTTTGGACATGTGAGTTATCCTTCATATTTCTGGGCATGAGCTTACTGTTTGGTATGACACAGGGGTTGTACCGTGATACCTAGCAGGGGCAGGACCACACCCCTGCAGAGTATTCAGAAGTGTATAGGGGTGTGTCTGGGTTGGCATGGTAACTGGGGGTGCTCAGCAGTGCCTCAAGGTATATTTGTTAACTGGCACAGTGGGAGGGATCAGCCTGCTTGGTAGAGAATTTTCTTAGCCAGAGAACCAACAGGGCCCCATTGAGAAGGAACAAGGAGACTTTAGGACACCTCCCTGTGACTGTGTCAGGAGATATGGGATTTGGGGAGACTGGGAGATGGACTGGTACCAGAATAATCCCTCGTCTGGACCCAGCCCTCCTGGATCCTAGGACTTGTCTAGACATAGACTCTATGAGAAGACAGAGTCTCAGCCTGGAAGAACCAAACCCTACTCCGGGGTCCTTGAAGAGTGCTCGCTAGGTTGTGACTAGTCCCCAGCGACTTGGAAAGTGACCCTATTAGTGTCCCCCTGCCCTTACGTGGTTCTCAGCCTGTTTCTTCTTGGTGCTTGGGAACAGTTCTTCCGTGTTCAAGCCCAGTGGCTCCAGGGCTCTGCACGGCACCCACACGGGGCAGGAACAAAGCCCGGTGTGTTCCTCCCGACTGCTCTAACCATACCACCCACATGTCCAGCCCTGCCCTCCGCCTCTCCAGGCCATCTGCTCAGCACAGGTGTTTGATCTCCCCTGTTCTCCCTGGTGTGCTTCTGCCTTTGGTTGTGGGGCCCCTCTTTGTTCCTCGTTGTTCCCCTAGTTGTGACCAAAGGTGAGGGACCATGGTGAGGAAAGCAAACGTCTTTACATAGAAGTCTGTTCTGTGGCTCTGGCTGCTCCTGGACTTTAGAGATAGAAGTAGAGGACGCTAGGACTGCCTTTGCATGTCTGCCGTGGCTTGTGTCCAACGAAAGGATGGTGTCTCCCAAAGCATCACCTTTGGCTCCAGAGCTTCTCTGACCACCTCTGTTGCTGCTACTCTTCTGTGTTTCAGACTAAGTCAGTGTCTTTCCACGATGTTCTTTAGGTCAAGGTTGAACTTTGTTCTGTGCCTTGATTCTGGGGTTGGTAAGGGAGGGTTGGGTTGCTTGTAATGTCCCCTGTTCCCCGTTTAGCATCAAGACCTAGGATCTGGTCCTGTAGGTCTAAAGCCCTTCTCTTTGGGAAGCCTGATGCAGTCGGCCCCCATCCAGACCTCGAGGCTCCCTTCCACACCTGCACTCTGCAGGCACCAGCTTCCCACGCCGTCTACATAGCATTTACATGACCACTGTCACGTCTTGTGTGTTAGTCCTGTGTGACCTCAGAACTCAAGGTCCCTTGACCAGAGTGTGATTTGTCTTTGGATTCTGCAGAGCGCCCAGTGCAATTTGAGCTCCTCAGTGGGTTGTTGGCAGCTCTAGCCTTGTCCTTTATCCTGTGTTCATTGGCCAGCTGTGTCCACAGCCCCTCTCCTCTGTGTTAGGATGGTGAGGTGAACTCCTCCTGACCCTGCTTCTCCCACATCCGTATCTGCAGGTGCCCAGGCAGCGATCGTCTTCATCAAGGAGCCGTCTTCCCAGGATGCACTGCAAGGGCGCCGGGCACTGCTGCGCTGTGAAGTTGAGGCCCCCGGCCCAGTGGAGGTGCACTGGCTGCTCAACGGAGTGCCTGTCCAGGACACGGAGCGACGTTTTGCCCAGGGCAGCAGCCTGAGCTTTGCAGCTGTGGATCGGCTTCAGGATTCTGGTGCCTTCCAGTGTGTGGCTCGGGATAACATCACTGGAGAGGAAGCCCGCAGCGCCAACGCCTCCTTCAACATCAAATGTGAGAGCCCGTGTAGAGGGCAGGCACTGTGCCTGTGCATCCGGCAGACTCAGGAGCCTTGTGCCTCAGTTTCTCCTACTTTCAGAGTTTAGTTGTGGTACTGCTTGCGTGGAGAAGAGGGACTTGCCTTCCTCCCTCTCTCCTCACTTTTCTTCCTTCTCCATCTTCTGTTTCCCCACCCTGTCCTCTCCCCTTCATCCTTCCAGCCCCTCCCTTCTCCTTTCTTTGCTGTGTGCTGGATCCCGAGTCCCACATATGCTGAGCATACACTATTACCACATCTATTTTCCCAGCCTCCCCCCACCACTTCAAGTTCCATTTATCTGCCAGAGGCTTTCATGGATGTCCTTGGCATGTATTAAATGTGACCTGCCAGGGACAGGGCCTGTGACCTGTGTCTGCTGTGGTCTCACCGTAGCTTCACAGTACCCACCTGCATGTGTGGTTCCAGAGCCTGCGGGCTCCCCTTCCACGTTTCCCTGTTGCCCTCTCTCACTGTGTGGCCTCTGCTCCAGGGATCGAGGCAGGTCCTGTGGTCCTGAAGCATCCAGCCTCAGAATCTGAGATCCAGCCGCAGACCCAGGTCACGCTTCGTTGCCACATTGACGGGCACCCTCGGTAAGAAGCCAGGGAGAGTGGGAGACAGGTAGCGATGTCACCCCAAGTCCTAGTGTCTGTGTTCATCCACTTTGCTTTATTCCATAACCAACCCCTCCGACCCAAATTTGCTTTCCACCCCGCCCTAAGTGTGCCCAGCAGCCTCTAGTGGCTGGAGAAGGTGAGAACTGTGTGGGAAGACCCTGGGTTCTAGGAACAGACAGACCTGCCATCTCTGCTTCTGTCCCTGCACTATGGCTCCCCTCCTCAGGCCCCGTTCCTCCACTTGTAAACTGGAGTGTTCGGTTAGACTTTGGAGTCTGATCCACTTTTGCCTGCTTATGACCCCCATTCCCACGACAGGCCTACCTACCAGTGGTTCCGAGATGGGACCCCCCTCTCCGATGATCAGAGCACCCACACAGTCAGCAGCAAGGAGAGGAACCTGACCCTACGGCCGGCCACCCCTGAGCATAGTGGCCTCTACTCCTGCTGTGCCCACAATGCCTTTGGCCAAGCCTGTAGCAGCCAGAACTTCACCCTGAGCATCGCAGGTGAGCCTGTCGGGGGGAGGGGGAGAGAAGAGGGGGCTCACTGCCCTGCCTGCTCACCCCTCCGGGTTTCCCCTTCCACAGATGAAAGCTTTGCCAGGGTGGTGCTGGCTCCTCAGGATGTTGTCGTAGCAAAAAACGAGGAGGCCATGTTCCACTGCCAGTTCTCAGCCCAGCCACCCCCGAGCCTCCAGTGGGTCTTTGAGGATGAGACCCCCATCACTAACCGCAGCCGGTAAGACTTGGACATTAGACTTGTGCATCGTGAACTTGTATTTCTGCAGATTTCCAGCAGATGGCAGTGTGGCCGAAAGAGTCCCAAAGGGGAAGTTCTAGGAAGTGCCTTCTGTGATTCCCACATAGACAGTCCATGATCTAGCCATGACTGTTCATAATTACCTTCAGGTCTTTTTTTTTTTTTTTAATAAAGTGTTTTTTTATTACTTTTTAAAATATTTATTTATTTATTATGTATACAATATTCTGTCTGTGTGTTTGCCTGCAGGCCAGAAGAGGGCACCAGACCCCAGTACAGATGGTTGTGAGCCACCATGTGGTTGCTGGGAATTGAACTCAGGACCTTTGGAAGAGCAGGCAATGCTCTTAACCTCTGAGCCATCTCTCCAGCCCTTACCTTCAGGTCTTGCCCACATGGTTCATCTGGGGTAAAAGTAGAGACCCAGGGGTGAGAACACAGGTGTTGCCAGAGAGGCCAAGTGCTGCCTAACCTAGACCCCATCCTGTGTTTCGTCTGCGGCCTTCCCATCTTTTATGGCTGGCCTGCTTGTCATGTTCAGTGCTTTGGAGGATACTGACACGGGCTAAAATGCGTGTCGTTCTTCAGCAGGCTGTTTGAGAAGACACTGGAGATGGAGTTGGGGCGAGAGTTGTAGAAGTAGCTGAGAAAGTTCAGAATACCAGAGGGGAGGTGGGTGTGGAGAGGAGAGGGGGCTATGATCACAGCCTTCATAGAAAGGTCCAAGGTGATACTGACATCACCACACACATTCTAGGAGGAGGCAAATGTCTCTGAAACTTCGGGGAGGGTTTGTCCTTCTATCAGGATGCTTGTCCAGACTGTAGGAGAGAAGAAAAAGCCTTTGTGGTACTGAACATAATGGTGGTCACAGGGGTGAGGGGGTGGGGCGGGAATGGGGGACTGGGGACAGGGATGACATGGTGCCGTAGGCTAGAGGCTTTAGTCCTAAGGACATCATCAGACCATCTGATTTGGCTTGGAGGCGCTTGCTTGTCCTTGAAGCTGGGGTGCCTACAGGAAGGCGGCCTCACTACCCTGACATTACACTCTCTTACACTGCATTCTGCTTCACCCTCCTTCCCCAAAATTGAGCTCTCTGTAGTTGGAAAGCACCTACAAACTGAGCGTGGTGATCCCAATATGTAAGAGGTTGAGGCAGGGGGATGAAAAATTAGAGCTCAGGGCCTGAGGAGGCGGCTTGGAGGGTAAAGTGATTGCTGAGCAAGCATGAAGATCTATGTTCAGATCCTCAGTGCCTGTGTGGGGATGCGAGGTGTGGCAGTGTGCATGGAACCCCACTGCTGAGTGGCAGAGATTGGTGGGCCTGGGGCTGGCCAGCAGTCCAGCTGAAAAGGCAGGGTCCAGACACACATGTAGGTAGAGCACCAGTATACATAAAATAAAAGGGATTTAGGAAAAAAGGTGGTGCTGTGGTGCATACCTTTAATCCCTTCGGGCATTAAAGGCAGAGGCAGGTGGAACCCTGGGTTCAAATCCAGCCTGGTCTGCACAGTGAGTTCCAGGACAGCCAGTGCTACACAGAGAAGCCCTGTCTTGAAAGACAAAAACAAACAAACAAACAAAAAAAGAAAGAAGGAAAGGAAAGAAGCTGTCAAATTTGATAGTGCACATCTTGATCCCAGAATTCAGAAGGCAGAGGCAGGAAGTTCTATGTAAGTTCTAGGTTAGCTTGGTGTACATGGAGAATTACAGGCCAGCCAGGGGAACACAGTGAAACCCTGCCTGGGGAAAAGAAAGAGAGGCTGGAGAGCTGGCTCACTTTAAGAGCACTTCCTGCTCTTGCAGAGCATCTGGGTTTGATTCTAAGCCCCTGCGAGGCAGTCCACAACTGTCTAACTCCAGTTCCAGAGTATCTGGCGCCCTCTTCTGGTCTCTGCTGACACTAAGCATGCACATGGTGCAGATAGACACACACAGGCAAATACTCACACACATAAAATAAAATAAATTTAAGAACAAGAAAAGGAAATTACAGCCTGCATATACCCATGAACAAGTGCACATGTTCACCCTTCCCACAACACAGGCCCTTGCAACATGAAATGCCTTGGCATCCTGTGTCAGAAGGAGGCCTAGGGCTGCTTCTAATAGTGCCCCTTCCTCCACAGCCCCCCTCACCTCCGCAGAGCTGTGGTGTTCGCCAATGGCTCTCTGCTGCTGACCCAGGTCCGGCCGCGAAACGCAGGAGTCTACCGTTGTATTGGCCAGGGGCAGAGGGGCCCACCCATCGTCCTGGAAGCCATGCTTCACCTGGCAGGTGGGTCTCTGGTGTGGAGATAGGCACTGTGTCCAGTGTTGGTGGCTCCTGGAGATTTAGGACCCTTGTTTGACTTAGCCACCAGCTTGGAGTGCAGAGCGAGGAAAGGACTCTGGGCTAAAAGAGGAGGAATTGTGGTTAAGGGGCGGTTTATTGTAAGGCGCCCCATCCCTAGATGCCCAAGGCAGTCAGGCAGTCTACCTTCTCCTCATGCCCTTGCAGAGATCGAAGACATGTTGCCGTTTGAACCGCGGGTGTTCACAGCTGGTGGTGAGGAGCGTGTTGCCTGCCCAGTCCCCCAGGGTCTGCCTACACCCAGTGTATGGTGGGAACATGCCGGAGTCAGGCTTCCTGCCTATGGCAAGGTCTACCAGAAGGGTCATGAGCTTGTGTTTGCCGCTATCGCCGAGAGTGATGCTGGTGTCTACACCTGCCATGCAGCCAACCTTGCTGGTCAGCGGCGACAGGACATCAACATCACTGTGGCCAGTGAGTATTCGTTCCCTGAAGGGCGAAGATTAGTAGCCTAGGAGGTCTGGGGTGTGGGTGTGATGGATCGAGGTTTCCTTGGTGTACACTGCTCCAGGTTCTGGGCTCTTGGGAATGTTGGTCATCTGGCAGTAGTGTGCCAGACACAGAAGTAGAGTTGGTACACCAGAGGAAGTAAACCAGCCCTCCCCGGAGAGTAGTCCCCTGACCACAGAGGATGAACACTGTCTGGGAGTCTGGAGACCTGGATCCCATTCTGCACACAATGTACGGAGTAACCACTGGGATCATGTTCCCTGAGCTGCAGGGCTGTCTCCTTATCCATAACAAGAGAGTTGGAAAGATCAAATGTTGCAGATGAAAAAGATCTCTCTCTTTCTCAGTGTGGTATGTGTGTGTGTTCACCTGTGTGTCTGTGTTCACCTGTGTGTGGTGTGTGTGTGTGTGTTCGTGTGTGTATGTGTGGTGTTCACCTGTATGTGTGTGTGTGTTCACCTGTGTGTGTGGAAGCCAGAGGTCAGTGTGCCTTTTTCTCACTGTTAGACATGGGCTCTCACTGTCGAGCCCAGAGCTTGCTATTAGCACTGGCTTCCCCATCGGGTTCCAGGGTCCTTCCGTCCTTGCTGCCCAGTTTTGGGGTTCCAGATGTGTACCACTATAATGGGTCTCACATGAGTCCCATAGCTGCAGACTAGATCCACATGCGCATGTCACATGCATTTTACCCACTGAGCCAGCTAGCCAGCATCTTTCTCTTTGAGAACTAGCAGTGGTCAAAGGACAGTTTTGTTGTAGTTCATTGTACTTTGCAGGCTTGTGGCTGGCGGTGGCTCGGTGGGTAAGAGCCCTCATGTGGGGGCTCACAACTCTCTAACTCTGGTTTCAGGGACCTGATGCCGTCCCTTAACCTCCACAGGCTCCAGGCATGTGGTCTACATTCGTCCTTGCAGATAAAACACTGCTCTGTGTAAAATAAAAACAAATACACTTTAAACATTTTTTAAAAATCAGACATCTTGGTGATTCTTCCTGTAGAGATAATGAAATTGGGCTAGAGATGTAGCTCCGCTGGTAGAGGGCTCATCAGCTGTGCACAAGCCCTGAGTTTGCTCCCCTGTGCCACATAAACTGGGAATGGTGGCCCACGCTTATAATCTGAGCCTCGGGAGGATCACTGTTCAAGGACATCCTCAGCTGAAGGAATCCCTGTTTCTAAGTAAAAAATACTGACTTCTCCAAGGACTTAGTTCGATGCAGAGAATGTTTATGCAACAGCATATAGACAGGTGCAAGCTGCACCGCCACCCCTCTCGGGGTTCGAGGCTCACTGCTTTGTTAAGGGCACTTTGGGACACACAGACTCAGGACTTTATGCTTATACTTGTTCAGTTTGGGAACTGCTGGCCGTGGTCAGTCCCGAGGCAGAGTGATGGGACTGTGCTGGGCGTGCTCTGGAGAGACCTGAGGGATAGGAGAGCAGTATGCACGTAAGGCCAGCCATTGTTGGTCGGGGTGGAGATGCCGGGTAGAGAGTCAGGAGCCACGCTAGGCCAGGTGTGGAGAGTCAGGAGCCACTCTAGGTCAGGTGGAGATGCCGGGTGGAGAGTCAGGAGTTGGAGTTCCGGGACCTCATTCAGTCATCGGAGACCCCTTCATGCTAGGCATACAGTTCCCAGTTCTGGGGATGTGTCAGTAAGCAGCGCACACACATGCATCCCATGCAGCCTATTCTAGCAGGGGAGACAGCAAACGTGAGAAACGACTTAGACTTTTAATACTTTATTTCCATCTATGTTTATGGGGGTTCTGTCTTTGCAGCACATGTATGCCTGGTGTCCACAGAGGCCAGAAGGGAGGATTGGATCCCCTCCCTAGGAGTTTACTGCTGCTTGTGAGCTGCCATGTGGGTGCTGGGAACTGAGCCTAGATCCTCTGCAATGGCACCAAGTGCTCTTAATTGCTGAGCCATCTCTCCAGACCCCTAAATATATAATTTTAGGTTTTGGTACAACTAAATAGAAAAATAACCTGGTGAATGATGAGATCGAAGGGATGGGAATGGGGGGAGACCTCTGTGGAAGGTGACGTTTGAGCTGGTAACTAAGGAAGAATCATGGCTAGGAGTGGGTGGGTGTATTGGGAGACAGCAGCAGGCTGTGGGGCTTCAGTTGAATACTAGTGAGGGTGGCTAAGGTCGTGTGAGGTGTGGAGACCTGTAAGAACACAGCCTTCAGCTCTTGTTCAGGTGCCGCTTGCCACCTCCCTAACAAGCAGCTCTTAAACCTGGTGGTTTGGAACAGCCGCTGAAGTGGGTGGGAGTCACTTTCGAGGGCTCAAGAGCACGGGGCTGTTAGAGGGTGGTCAGTCAACCCACAGACAGTGAGTGACTAGCTGGTCTCTGATAGTCTTGTTCACATGTCTAGTTAGGCCAAGTTTCCTCACATAGAAACTGGATTCTGAGAGGGCAAACGTATGTTCTAGAAGGCAAGGCCAGTCTCAGGCCACCCAGGTTCCTGGAAGTGGAGAGAGAGAGAGACTGCCTCTTGATGGAGAACGTGTGGCTGCGACATTAACGAGAGATAAAAGGGGTCTCACAGGCTGCCAGCTGCTGCTGTTGCAAACACTGCCTCACCAGGGCAGACAGCAAGTCCTTGTAGGCTTCTAAGTGGAAGACTGTTCTGAGAAAGCTGGAATGGCAGGGTCCAAAGTGGGAACGGGCCTGCTCAGATGGGGGGTGGATGCTTGCTACCAAGTCTGACAGCCCGAGTTCTGTCCCGGGGGCCCACAGGGTGAAAGGCGAGATTGGCGTCGGCAAGTTGTCACTGACTGCCACACGCGCCACCCCGACTATCCAGGAGCTCACTGTGTAGACCAGACAGGCCTTGCACTCAGAGATCCGGCTGTTTCTGCTTCCCAGGTGCTGGGACTAAAGTAATAAAAACATTTTTAGGAGTGTAATGGGATCCGGGTGTGGTGGGGACATCTTCATCCTAGCCCACCTAGTGTACACAGGAAGTGTCAGGATAGCCAGGGCTGTATAGTGAGACCCCGTTTCAGAACAAACGAGAGTATAAATAGGGAGAGCAGTTAATAGATGGGAGCTATTGATTGAACCTGAACATGAGAATTGGTCAAAGTCAGGCCCAGTTTCGGAGCTTCAATAGGCAGGGTTGGTGTAGAATACAGATTATGGCCTCGAGGCCAGTAAGTCAGGGCTGGACATGTAGCTTCTACATTTGGCTGGGAAACAATGTTCCTGAGAGAGAGAGAGAGAGAGAGAGAGAGAGAGAGAGAGAGAGAGAGAGAGAGAGAGAGAGAGAACTAGGCCAACAGGTTTTGAAGGGAAACAAGTTTAGTTTTCTTTTTTCTTGAGACAGTTTTCTTCTGTTCTGGAACTCTCTCTGTAGACCAGGCTGGCCTCGAACTCACAGAGATCCGCCTGCCTCTGCCTCTCCCTCCCGAGTGCTGGGATTAAAGGCATGCACCACCACCGCCCAGCAAGTATGCATGTGAAGTGTGAATGCCTCCAGCTGTCCATCTGGGCACACCAGTAGACAGCCCGCTTGCCGTGGGGTTGGGGTTGTCTATTCATATGGTAGAGGAGATTATTCAGGGAGCCAGTGCCCCTAAAATGCAACAGTTTCAAGGACCAAGTCATGCTACCACAAATGTTTGAGGAGTTAGGTTTAAAGGGGAAGGATTGATGTACGGCTCTGGTCTGTTGGCTCCATGGCTTTGGGCCTAAGGGGAGCAGAATATTAGGGCTGCAGCAGCCCGAGTCAGAGGCTAATCATCTCAAAGAGGCCAGGAAGCAGAGAAGGGTCCAAGGAGGATGGATGTGGGACACAGACACAGGTGACTTGACCCACAGACCCTCAGTGACTACTTCTTCCACATAGCTTCTGCTAAAGTTCTATAGTGCCACCAGCTGGGGGCCAAGCATCAACACATAAGCCTGTGGGAGCATTTCATATTCGAACTATAGCACGGACTGTGGCCTGGTATGTGATGTGAAAAAGAACCAGGATGGTGGGGTCCTTTTTTTTTAATAATTTATTTTTATTTTATGTGTAAAATGGTTTTCCCCATCTGTATGGTTGTATACTATATGCGTGTCTGTGATCTGTGAAGACCAGAAGAGGGTGCTGTACCCCCAGAACTGGAGTTACAGATGGTTGTGAGCTGCCATGTAGGTGCTGGGACTCCAGGGCCGTTGGAAGAGCAGCCAGTGCTCTGGTGGGGCCTTGCGAACCCCATGCAGGCCCTCTGCCTTGGGGTGGCAGTCGATGTTGCTTCTTGGAGCACCTGGTTTCCTAGCTGGAGCATGGGTGGAGGAAGGCACCTTGGGTGTTTACTGTGGACGAAATGAAGGTGTTGGAAAGCTTGGGTGTCATCCGGGGAGCCTGGTGTCTAGTCTTCTGGGATTGGGTCCTTTGGTTTCCAAACCTGTTATTTAGCTTTTGTGGTTTTTCTTGCTGCTCCAGCTGTACCCACGTGGCTAAAGAAGCCCCAAGACAGCCAGCTGGAGGAGGGCAAACCCGGCTATCTGCACTGTCTGACACAGGCCACACCCAAACCTACTGTCATCTGGTACAGGAACCAAATGCTTATCTCGGAGGTGAGAGAGGATGGCTTTGTGTGGCTGGGAGAGTTTTCCTCCACAGCCCGTCTCGGTGTTTACCCCAGAGCTTCCAAACCCCTGAGGCTGGTCTCGGGGAGATGTGTGTGGAGCCCTTGGTATTAGCCCTTTTTCACGCGAGTCTGTGTCCTGCAGGACTCACGGTTCGAGGTTTCTAAGAATGGGACCTTACGCATCAATAGTGTGGAGGTGTATGATGGGACCTTGTACCGCTGTGTGAGCAGCACCCCGGCCGGCAGCATCGAGGCCCAGGCCCGTGTCCAGGTGCTGGGTGAGTTGGCCTGTCTGGGCAGAGGAGCGATGGGGAGGGGCTGTGGGGATGGCCGTGGCCTCTCTCCCTGTCTCAATTCCTCCTCTTCTCCTCCCTCACCAACCCAGAGAAACTCAAGTTCACGCCCCCGCCGCAGCCACAGCAGTGCATGGAGTTTGATAAGGAGGCCACAGTGCCCTGCTCAGCCACTGGCCGAGAGAAGCCCACAATTAAGTGGGTACGGGCAGGTGGGTACCATGTGGCATAGACTACGGCAGGCAGCTTGTCAGATGTGTGTATCTAAGGGACAGGGAAGTGCCCAGCCTGCACCCGAAATTGTGGGGGGACCCAGAAATGTAGGACTGATTGATAGTCCAGTAGAGAGGGGGAGGCTATAACCTCAAAGGGCTCGAGGACAGCACGGGACAGCGCAGATGGTGACTCCAGGCAGCAGTGTGCTGTCCAGACCCCTCTTTGCCAGCATCAAAGTAGCACGGACTCTTTGACAAACATGGATGGGGGTGTGGACCAACTCCCATCTGCCAACCTTATGTCTGTCTTCTTTTTCTATTTACTCTTCCATAATAATTTTATGTATTACGCTTCCTGAGCAAAGACACGCTTATTTTGTTTATTGTTGTTGGGCGTACTGGGGCTCGAACCCACGACCTCACACACGCTAGGCAAACTGCCCCATTGAGCTACATCCCCGGCCACTTTTTATACTTTTTATTTATTTAGTTACTTAGTTTAGGTTGTTGTCATCTCTAAGGTCTTGCTGTATAGTCGTAGCTGGCTTGACTCGGAACTAACTCACTGTGCAGCCCAGGTTGACCTTAACTTAGGATCACTCTGCCTCAGCTCCCTGTGTTCTGTGATTATAGGCACCAATACACCTGATCTTTTTTGTTTTGTTTTTCTTTTTTTTGAGACAAGAGTCTTACTCTGTAGACCAGGCTGCCCTCCAGCTCCCAAAGATCTACCTACCTCTCTGCTTTCGAGGGTTGTGATTAAAGACGTGTATTACGGTGTCTGGAGCTTAGATGGTTTTTGTTCTTTAATTTTTACTTATGTATGTGTATTGGTGTTTTGCCTGCATGCATGTCTGCGTACTGTGTAAGCGCAGTGCCGCAAAGGCCAGAAGAGGGCACTGGATCCATTGGGATGAGTTATAAATGATGCTAAGACTCAAGCCTGAGACCTGGAAGAGCAGCCAGTGCTCTTAGTTAATACAGCCATCTCTCCAGCTCACCCCTTCCCCCAACCCTGCACCCACACGCAAGGTCTCACTGTGTGAGACCTGACTGACGTGGAAGTTGCTGTTCTTGTAGACCAGGCTGTCCTCAAACATAGATCCCCCTGCCTCTGCCTCTTGAGTTTTGGGATTAAAGTATGCTACCACACTTAGCACTTATGTGGTTTTTAATTTGACATTAGTGTTTCTCCTTGTCTGTATATGGTGTACCTAATATCAGTTTCAACTGCTGTAATGATAATCTCATTGGGTTCATTATCATTTACTAAAATATTCTCTATGAGTTAGAGACTTGGATTGTTAACCCCTCTTTTTATGGCTCTAATAAATCTCTAATCCCAAGGTTATTGAGGTTTATTTTTCTGGATTTAGGTTTGTTTCCTTTGGGAAAGAATTCCAGAAGTGGGGTTTTATATATCTAGGTTAGGAACATTTTTATAACCATCTGTACAGCTTGCCAAATTGTTCCTACAAGGCTGGACCAATTTCCCATTTGTGCCAGCTGTGGAAATGGAAGTCGGGTTGTGGCTTCTGCAGAGGACTCCCTCGTTCAGGTCTGGGATCTTTCTGGAAGAAGGGAGAGCTCAGGTGGAGCTATGATGGGGCTACGAGTGAGCCACTTCCAGGAATAAGGAGTAACAGGCAGTGAGGAGAGGACAAGGCCAGTCCTTGGCCCGGGCAGAAGTCTGTGAGCCTGGAAAATTGGGGAAACAAGTCAATAATAGGGGACTTTGAATTTGGACTTTGCCCGTGAGTAGGAAGGAGCGATGGTTTGTTTGGGGTAGAAATGAGTATCTGAGGGCCTTGTCAGTTATCCATGTAAGTCTAGCCCATCCCATAATTTCTCCTGATTGTCTCTGCAGATGGGAGCAGCCTCCCTGAGTGGGTGACAGACAATGCTGGGACTCTACACTTTGCCCGAGTGACCCGAGACGATGCTGGCAACTACACTTGCATTGCGTCCAACGAGCCACAGGGCCAGATCCGTGCCCATGTCCAGCTCACCGTGGCAGGTGTGACCGGTGACCGGTGTAGCATGGGAGCCAGAGTTGGCAGGGCTCGGGGAGTGACAGCTCCGTGACACTCTCTGGTCTTTCCCTATCCAGTTTTCATCACCTTCAAGGTGGAACCAGAGCGTACAACCGTGTACCAGGGCCACACAGCGCTGCTGCGGTGTGAGGCCCAGGGGGACCCCAAGCCTCTTATTCAGTGGAAAGGCAAAGACCGAATCCTGGACCCCACCAAGCTGGGACCCAGGTAGGTGGTCTCCCCTCCACACTGACTTTCCTTTCCTGCCATGGCTGCTCCCCGGGGGCTGGCAGGTGAGCGTTAAGGTGACTTCTCTTGCGGCAGGATGCACATCTTTCAGAACGGTTCCCTGGTGATCCACGATGTGGCCCCCGAGGACTCAGGCTCCTACACCTGCATCGCTGGCAACAGCTGTAACATCAGGCACACAGAGGCCCCGCTCTTTGTCGTGGGTATGGCCAGAAAAGGGCGCCCTGCGCAGGAAGTGGTTGAAGTCTTTCTCCTCTTCCATGTAGTGTTGTATGTACAGAGAAGACACACAAACTGGGGGGACTTGGGGTGTCCTTTCCAGTGTGCCATCACAGCCCTAGATTCCTGGCTGGGCTGTCACTTAATTGACATTCCACAGATGAGATGGCGTTTGGTTGGCTGAAGGACGCTCTTCCTGGAATGCCCCCTTCTCTTGCACACATGGAAAGAGAACTTTTTCCGCTCACACTCTCGGAGGTTTCTGCTGAGAGCCTGGTTACCTTGAGTCTGTGGCAACACAGAACACGGTGCTCAGAGCATGCGGCAGGGGACGTCTTGTTTATCGTATGTTGAGCGGGAGGCAAAAGAGAGAGGAGTGGACTGGGCCTTAGTTTCCCCTTCAAGGACCCCCCACACACCAATGATGACACTTCCTTCTACTGGGTCCCAGCCTCTGAAGGTCCCACCGCTTCCCAATAGCATCAGAGGCTGGGGAATAGGGCTTAACACGTGGTCCTTTGGGAGAGAAGCACTTAAGAGCCAAGCTTAGGGCTAGAGAGATGGCTTAGAGGTTACTGTTCTGTCAGAGGACCCAAGCTCTGTCCTTTCCATCCGTCATCAGGTGACTCACAACTGCCGATGACCCCAGGCCTCTGGCCTCCGGTGGCACCTGCACTCACAGGCACAGATCTGCGCACACACACACACACACACACACACACACACACACACACACAATTAGAAGTAATAACAAACAAGTCCAAACTTATAAACCAGGCTTGACAGTTCGTTACTGTAATCCTGGATCTTGGAGGCTAAGACAGGAGGATTGTCATGAGTTCAAGGCTACATAGTGAATTCCAAGATAGCCTGGGCTACAGAATGAGACGTCTCAAACCAAAGAAAAGAAACAAAATCTCTAAGCTACTGCAGGCAGGGAGGGAATCAGGTCAGGATGCAAGAGGACCAGAGGAGATGTGACAGGTTAACAGCCGCAGGCCAGCCCTGCCCCAGTGATCTCTGTCCCCGAGGAGTTGTTGCTGTGGCTGCGGATGAGAGGATTTGAGGGGGAAGGAAGCCCACAGCCTTCTCCACACTTCTCCACCCAGCAGCACTGCTTCCCGAGTAATGTATCTTGTAGAAAATGGAATGAGGGATCCCTTGGTTGAAGCTGTTGAGGTGGGACGGCAGTGTGTTCTCAGCCTCCCCCGAAGCTCACCCGATGACTCATGGGACTTCTCTCTCCTGGGCTGCTGAAAGCCAGTGACTGGCGGCCACATGGGAACCTACTCTGAGCTGGTTGATAACTGGGATCTAAGGAGGGGCTTCCCAGGCTTAGCTCACAGTGCTGAGTCAGCCAGCAAGGTCTGGTTTGCTTGAGTAGCCCTGGCTTGACCTTTCCATGTGTCTCTCAGACAAGCCAGTGATGGAGGACTCGGAGGGCCCCGGCAGCCCTCCCCCGTACAAGATGATCCAGACCATTGGGCTGTCAGTGGGCGCAGCTGTAGCCTATATCATCGCTGTCCTGGGCCTCATGTTCTACTGCAAGAAGCGATGTAAAGCCAAGAGGTTGCAGAAGCAGCCAGAAGGCGAGGAACCAGAGATGGAGTGTCTCAACGGTGAGGACCCCCTCTAGGGGGGAGGTGGGTCACATGAGTGCAGAGCGCCCTCCTGTGGCAGCCTGAAGGCGAGGAACCAGAGATGGGGTGTCTCAATGGTGAGGACCCCCACTAGGGGGAGGTGGGTCACATGAGTGCAGAGCGCCCTCCTGTGGCAACTGTGGAGGAAGAACCTAGTACTCCTGGAGATAGAGGGCTGGAGGTGGGGTGTGCTTCTCTGACTGCAAGCCTGGCTTCTGAACTGTTTGACCCAGGTCTCCCTCATTGGAACCTCTTGGGCTAGCCTTCTCTCCCAACTCTTAAAGCACAGATACAGTTGGTATGCATATTCTTGCTTCAACTCCCCTGCCCCCAGTAGTCAGCCCTCAGGGGCAATCTGTCCGTCTTTTCCTAGCCCCTCCCATCATCAGAAGCTGCCTGAGGACATTGCTGGTCTCCACTCAGTTTAGGCATTTGCGTGACTCTACTCAGTGATTTCCCTCTGCACACAAGGTTCAGTGCAAGCCACAGAGCTCGTGTGGGTTTGCCATTCCGGGCCAGTGATTGAGATTCGATTCCCATAGCAAGCTCCTGTTGTAGCTCCTACTCACCTGTGTCCGTAAATGGCCACACTCTAAGGCCTGCCTCAACCTGCCCCCAAACCCCGGCAGTTTGTCTGTGGGAATAGCCAGTTTTTATGGAATGAAGCAAAGTTGGCATCGTGGATGACAGCAGGAGATACATCGCCCCACGGGTCCTAGGGACTGAGCTCTAGAAATCAAGGTGTCTTATCTTAGGATATTGACCTGACCCCTTGTTCCCAGGTGGGCCTCTGCAGAACGGACAGCCATCAGCAGAGGTCCAGGAGGAAGTGGCTTTGACGAGCTTGGGCTCCGGCCCCATGGCCACCAACAAGCGCCACAGCATGGGTGACAAGATGCATTTCCCTCGGGCCAGCTTGCAGCCCATCACCACCCTGGGTATGTGGCCTTGCTTCAGGAGACTGGTCTGGAGGCTGGGTCACGGGCTGAGGTGGTTCTCACAGCCTAGCATGTTAGAGGTATTGGGGTGCAGGTTGTCCCCTGTGCAGAGTCACACACCCACATGGTGTCGGTCCGGTATCCCACCTGTCGTATTATTTTCTTGATGCTTCGCGAAAGTGGATCTTTTAAAAAAAAGAACTAAAGTTAGCTTTTTTCCCGCCTTAGGGGAAAAATGTGAGAAATTATGGTTTTGTATTGATTCTTTTTTTCTTAAGGTACCTCAAAACGTAGGGGCCTGGAGAAATGGCTCACCTGCCAACGGGTGGGGTGCAGCAAAGAGGCCATCCTTGTGTCTCCCCCAGTCAGGGGCTCCCTCTGCCTGGGCGAGGCAGCTGACCAGCATGGCCCTCTGCCCACAGGAAAAAGCGAGTTTGGAGAGGTGTTCCTCGCAAAGGCGCAGGGCCTAGAGGAGGGCGTGGCAGAGACGCTGGTGCTTGTGAAGAGCTTGCAGAGCAAGGACGAGCAGCAGCAGCTGGACTTCCGGAGGGAGCTCGAGATGTTCGGGAAGCTGAACCATGCCAATGTGGTGCGGCTCTTGGGGCTGTGCCGGGAGGCCGAGCCCCACTACATGGTGCTGGAATACGTGGACCTGGTATGCTGTAGTCTGGAGCACTGCCTGGGCAGTGTGCCAGCGGAGGAGGGTTTGGGGGCTGCGCTCCTGAGGTCTTGCTGCCTCCTGCTACCTGAGCCACCCGCCTTCCCAGCTCTCCGGTACCCGCCGACCCTTTAACTGTTGAGTTTTCCTGTCTTTCTGGAGATCAGTCCTTAGCTCTGGGGGTCCTCCCATTCTCTACCCTGCCTGGATGCCCTTCAGGTCCTTCTGCCAACTGGGTTTCTTTGCTTTGTTATTTTTTTTTTTTTTTTAGCCCATAGCTTGTCATCACTTGAGAACAAGTTTGTCAGAACCTGGCAGGCCTCTTCTCCCTCCCTGTCTCCCTCCCTCCATTTTCTCTT